GTAGGAAAATGCATTGTTGGCTACTGACTCCAGGGCTGACAGTGTGCTATGCAGTGATGGCCCCTCCCAGGAGGTCATTTGAGGGCCTTGTATCACACGCTCCCCTTTCCGTCACCCATGGGACCCTCACGGTGGCTGTAGAACATGCCAGCAGTTGCCCCACTCCACCTGGGGCAAGATGAGAGTGGGAAATGTGGTGGGGGTGGGCAGTGTTGCAGGAACCCACAGCTATGTGGTTATCAGAAGAAACTGGGAACCCACAGCTTTGGGAAAAATATATCTTGAAGACAGCCTCATCTTCCTGTAATTTGTATATAAGTAGGTGGGGAAACTGGCTAGATATGAGAAAGATCTTGAAAATTTTATTAGTGGCATAAAAGGGAAATAAAGGAAATCAAGGCAAAATGATAAATTAAAAATCCATTGGTGACTGTAATATATTGGTTTCTGTAGTTGTGGGTTTTTATTTATTTATTTATTTATTTTTTTAAAAGACGATCTTGCTCTGTCACCCAGGCTGGAGTACGTTGGCATTATTTCAACTCCAGCTGCAACCTCCGCCTTCTGGACTCAAGCGATCCTCTTGCTTTGAGCACAGCCAAACCTGGCCAATTTTTGTATTTTTATGTGGAGATGGGGTTTTACCATGTTGTCCAGGCTGGTCTCAAACTCCTGAACTCAAGCGATCCTGCTGCCTCAGCCTCCGAAAGTGCTGAGATTACAGGCGAGGGCCACTGCGCCTAGCCTAGTTGTTTTAATGTATTAGTTTTTCTCTTTGGCCAGAGGTATTGACTAGAGACACTGATCGAAATATGTGCCAGGTTAGTGGAAAAGAAGGAAGGATACGAGACAAAGCCGATTTTCACAATCTTGTCTAATTGTTCAAAAAATGTAAATAATTGATCACTTATGTTTTATATGAATTTTATTTTGTAGTGTTTTTGGTTTTCCAAAGGAAAACAGAAATAACTGAAGCTGCATTGTGGTAATTTTCTTAGGGGAGACAGGAGAGAGAATTTTAAATATGAAGGGTATCTCTTGTTTAATGAAATCATAGTAGATCAGATCTGTGTAACTTAAATGCCACAGAAGTTGCACAGGGTAACAGAAAACACTCCACTATAAGCAGACCTTTTCTGTTACAGTAGTTCATCGACAATGAGGAAAGCAATTGCCTTTGGTATATGATTCATACAGGAAGTAAGTTATATTCCTTTGTACAGGCAATCTCTAAAAATGGTTGAGACCAGTTATACCAGTACTTTCCAATACTTGCAGCCTCTTCTATACCCGTGAACTCTTAAGAACTGGAAACATGGAGGAGAGCTGCCCTAGTCAGTATCAATCAGCATCAGGTTATCTGTCCACTGACCCCAAGCCATATAAAACCAAGTCTTTGCCTAAGCCCGAGAATTCTCTCTCCTTTAAAAATGTTGATTACTTCTGTTTCTGTTGTTTTTTCTTATCTCTTCTTCTTCTTCTTCTTTTTTTTTTTTTTTTTTTTTTTTTTTTGAGACAGGGTGTCAGTCTGTCTCCCCAGCTGGAATGCAGTGTCCCAGTCATAGCTCACTGCAGCCTCTAACTCCTGAACTCAAGGGAATTTCCCACCTTAGCCTCCCAAAGTGTTGGAATTACAGGCATGAGCCACTGTGCCTGGCCTAATTACTCCTATTTATTATTTTAAAAAAGTCATCCAAAGCTATTACATGTCAAAAGCCTCCCCCCCGCAACCCCCCCTCCGACTAGAGACAGGGTTTCACCTTGTTGCCCAGGCTGGTCTTGAACTGCTGGGCTCAAGCAATTCATCTGCTTCTGCCTCCCAAAATGCTAGGATTACTGGTGTGAGCCACTGTGCCCGGCCATGTCAAATACCTCTTAATGTCACACTCAAGTTTTGTAATATGGTCATTATGACAAATGTCAGCTTAAAACCGGGGCAACCAGGACGGGAGTGCTATTTCTGATGTCCAGGGGCCACTGCTTTGGCCTGTAGCTAGATATTTCCCAATATATAATTTGATCACTCTGAGGTTCCAGTGATTTTATGCAGTTGGGTCAGAATGATAGTATCAGTGAATCAGTTGTTCAATGCTACTCCTCCTCCTTTGATTATCTTACTCTTCAATAAGATGATCCTATTTCTTATAAAATAAGTAGGCGTGGCAGTGTAATTAACTATATCTTACAGTTGGAAAGGCTATGAGAGCGGCCAGATTAAATCAAGTGGTTGGATAGGAAGTCTTCCAACTTCCAAACAATACAGATGTTTTGTTTGCTATACTACAGTTTCCACCTGCAGTGAAAAACATTTCAAAACATTCTGAAGTACATGTTCTGTTTAAGAGGATCAGTTCTAATATTTTGGTCCATGATGGCAGTTATTATTATGAGGAAGAGTCATAGTAGTCACACAACTTCTGATCCCCTCTTGCTAGCAGATTTTAGTGACACCTTAATCAAAAAGCTGACTTACCTTTTTCGGTCAATGTCAACAAGGGAGCCAACTCAATAGTGGTTGCCAGTTGCTTGGCCTTAAGCTGTGAATTGGGCTTTCTTCAGGCAAGTCTTGGGTTGTTTTCTGAGCATGACGGTTAGATGGACTGTGATAGGCCAAAACCAGCCTTTCTCTAGAATGATCCAGAGAGCTGGGTTCACAGCACAGCCTGGGGACTGTTCTTTCCTTGTTTCCCTGAGATGTGCTGGCTCTGGAGTCTGATGCACTTTCCCTTAATGTGATAGCATATTCTAAGTAATTAAATTTTGTAAGCATTTATTATTAATTGCCTATAATAATATGCCTCTTACTGAATCAGGATGTATTGAAGAACTAAGAAGCAGAAGAAGGCATACATCTTCAGGAGTATAAAGGTTTATAACGTGTATCTGTTAGCATGGGAAAAACTGAAGCTAAGGGAAGCAGTCAGGAGGAACGACCTAGATTCCCCATTCCTCTCTACCAGACTCATTCTTTTTAGAAAAAACATTAAAAAAATTTATGAAACATTTTAGTCATAAAGAAAGTATATAAAATAGTTTAACAGACACTTATGCATCTACATACTACCTAAATGTAATAGCTAATGGCAATTAAACATTTTGACATACTTGTTTTACTTCTTTTTCTTTCTTAGAAAAATAAATAATTCTGGGTAAAACTAAAAGCTCCTTTCTGTCTCATCAGTTTCTCTTCCTGTGAAAGTACATTCTTCACGGGAAGCGCCACGTTACAATGTTCTAAACTATAATTTACAACAATCCAAAATAACGACTCTCTACAAATATAAACATATGTCAAATATTGAATTAATTTATTATGTAATGAGAAAAACCAGAAAGATATTAAAACTGGTTGAAAGGAGAGTTTGAAGAGCAAATATTATATACACACATACAAAATCAGGAATGGTGAAATGAATTTGCTAATAGATGCAAAATTGGCTAACATTATGTAAGGCAATTCTATAAGTATAAATGCTGGAGTCATCTATTCTAAAGGGTGGAAATCAATTGTATCTCTAGCAAACCATATTCATTTGTATTGCTGTGGACAAAAAATATTTGCATTACTATCAGTTTTGCACAAGGTAATATTTACCCCAACAGCATTGTAAAATAGCCAAATCACTAGGAGGACAATCAAAGGTACACACCCCTTTAAAATCAGATAATTCCCAGAGGGAGTGCTGCCCTAAGCCCAGCCCTCCACTGAAAGGATACTCAGTACCTTTTGACCTTTTCCAAGTCTTTGACAGCTCTTCCCTGCAGAAGGTTGGTCATTCTCGGCAGGCTCTATGCCTGTCTCTCCAAGTGCTCTGAACTCAGCCTGACTTCAAGGACCTGTTATTGTCTCTGCTACTCTGCCATCTGAAGCCTTTTGCCCTCAGAGGGTCCCAGAATACCTTGCTTTAACCAGGATTCCCAGTCATGGTTATTTTAGGTCAGGGAACGTGTACAAATTGACAATAGGATGTCAGTCCCCTAGGTTTTGGATATGAGAAGAGATATAAGCCATGTGGCAATAACCAAGTCAGGAATATGCTAGTGGGATGCTTGCAGTGTCTGGAAACCCAACTTCATTCTTATGCTAGGATAATATAATTATTACTATGGGACCTTCATTAGTTTAGACTGCTCCAAATAAGCCTATTTTATGGAGGAAAAAGGTCCTTATTTTATTTTAGAGGGCTAGCAAACTGCTGTAAGATTACATAAGCTGACAAGCTGAATATATGACACTTTGGTCTTATAAATTAAAGCAAGCCATACACAAAGAGCATGCTTTACTGTGGCGTATGTGCTAAATCACTCTATCACTCTATATGCGTTATCTTATTTAATCTTTTTTTTTTTTTTTTGAGACAGGGTCTCACTCTGTTGCCCAGGCTAAAGTTCAGTGGCATGATCATGGCTCACTGCAGTCTTGATCTCCCAGACTCAAATGATCCTCCTGCCTCAGCCTCCCGAGTAGCTGGGACTACAAGCATGTGCCACCATACCAGGCTAATTTTTTATGTTTTTATTTTTATTTTTTATCTTTTATTTATTTGTTTTTAAGACAGGCTCACTCTGTACCCAGGCTGGAGTGCGGTGGTGTGATCTTGGCTCACTGCAACCTCTGCCTCCCAGGTTACCATGCCCAGCTAATGTTTTGTGTTTTTAATAGAGACAGGGTTTTGCCATGTTGGCCAGGCTGGTCTTGAACTCCTGGCCTCAAGTGATCTGCCTGCCTTGGCCTCCCAAAGTGCTGGAATTACAGGCATGAGCCACTGCACCAAGCGTTATTTTTATTTTTTGTAGAGACAAGGTCTCATCATGTTACCTAGGCTGGTCTCAAACTCCTGAGATCAAGTGATCCTCCCGCATCTGTCCCCCAAAGTGCTGGCATTGGCGTTACAGGTGTGAGCCACTGCACCCAGCCTATTTAATCTTTAATACAACTTTATGAGGCAGATAGCATCAGTTGATCAGTTTTTTTTGTTTGGGGAAACTGAGCCCCTGAA